ATACTGATTATTATGATTTAGGTTGTTTTTTCCTCCGTACACACACACACACACACACACACACGTACACACACACGCTAACAAAATAACACATAGGTATAGTTGTAAATAATAGGAACGATATTATATTTAAGTCATAATTAAATTTATTTTTAATTTAAAAATACTTCCAATTCATTTTCTTTTCTTTGCAGGAATGATCAAGACACAAAAAAGAACAAAAAAGAGATAAAAATCTTCTATGTTAAAAAGTGAGCCTAAGAAAGAACAACCTAAAATGACACACTAACACACAGTCAAACCCGAAGAAGAAGCGTAAGATGACGATGATAGATGACGCATATAATGATGATGATATGTTAAAGATGATGATGATGTTGTCGAAGATAGTGATGATGATGATGACGTTGATGTTGATAATGATGATCAAAGTGAAGCCAAACAAAATTAGAGAAAAGACCGAATGTGGTTGAATATGTGAGCAAACGTTTCATCATTTCTTTCCAAAAGAAATTTTTACTACGATGATGATGTTGTTGATGTTGATGATGATGTTGGTGTTGTTGATGATGATGTCCATCTCTTTTATCCATCTTTGTTCTATCCGTCTATCCATCATTGATTCTTTCTTTCTTTCTTTCTTTTATTCATTCATTCGAGTTCCCTCTTTCCATCATTGCGTTTGTTCTTTATCCTCCTGTGTGGATGTTATATTTATTATTATTATTTATTATTATTATTGTTGTTGTTGTTTTTATTATTGTTGTTGTTGATGTGGTTGTAGACTATATGGATAGATATATGAACATTTTCAACACACACACACACACACACACACATACACACACATACATACATACATACAAATAGTTTACACATAAATATACATAGGAGTATACAGATGTACATAAATACACACAAATATGCGACCAGGTGTAAATATACGAAATACATATACCCCAACATTTCATACACGAACATTTCATACAATACAAAACAACAGAATGTATAGAGATACAAACACACACACACACACACACACACACACACATACAAACATACGTACTTGGTATACATACATGTGTACAAACAGACACACAAACATACGTACACACACACAACAATACGTAAACAAAAAGAGTGCATACTCTTCTAGTGCAAACAAATTTTATAACATGTTGTGACAATAGTGTTCCATCATTATTATTATAATAATAATAATTATTATTATTTTTGTTATTATATTATAATTATTATAGTTGTTGTTGTTGTTGTTATTAATTATCACCAAAGGTAGTCCCAATCCAATTGAATAATTATACATTTTCACCCGATTATTTTGAACCAAAATTTTTACACTTGATTTTATACCGCGCATACACAAACACACATACATACACAAACACACATACTTGCATACACAAACGCACATGCATACATACACAAACACACATACATACACAAACACACATACTTGCATACACAAACGCACATGCATACATACACAAACACACATACATACACAAACACACACATACATAAAAGTGAGATTACTATATGAATTTTCAATACCATATACTCATAATTGTTTGTATTCAATATATATCAATATATATAAATCATGTTGTTTATAAGACGTGTCTAATCCATTATATATATATATATATATATATATATATATATATGAGTGTACAATTGATAGATTGATTGATTGATTGATGAATAGAACGAATGGATGGGTGATTGAATGGATGTATATATCTGACTGGTGTTATTATCCTTCTCTGTGAATTGTTGATATTCATTTAAAACCGCCTATGTAACATTTATCGCAATCAGTCAATCAGTCAAACAATCATATATTTAACTTAATTTAACTTAACTTTAAGACGTTTTTATGTAAACATTCCTTAGATACATTTGAAAATGTATGTGTGTGTACGTGTATGTATGTAAATATTTGTATGTGTATGTATGTTTGTATGTGTTTGTATGCATGATTATTAGTTTGTATCGTATGTATCCATGGTTTGTGTATATTTTCTTACTAATGAGTGCTGCTGATCAACAGAAAACCGATTTCGCTTTTTGGTTTTTACGTAATATACAAGCAAGTTTGTTTGTATGCTTGTGTGTTTGTCTGTATGTATGTAGGTTTGCGTGAATGTTTGTACGTACGTACGTATGTATGTAGATATGTATGTTTTTGATATTTTTTTTATATGGAATGAACTTTCAGTTGTTTAAGCAGTCAGCCGTTGTTTTTAAATTTCTTTTATTTAGAAACTTAATTCGAACATTTATATTCTATTTTTTTTATTTGTTTATTCATTTTTGTATTATTTTGAAGCGTTGTTCCATTAGTATTTTTATTGTTATTATTAACTCTTTCTACTTTTTCAAATTTGGTTCTTAAATAAATATTTAAATCTGATTTTTTTTTTGTTTCTTTCATGGTACACTTTTTTAATTATCTATGTTACACTTTTTAATTATCTATGTTACACTTTTTTTAATTATCTTTGTTACGCTTTTTTATTTATCTATGTTACACTTCCTTATTTATCTATGTTACACTTATTCAATTATCTATGTTACACCTATTTAACTTTCTATGTTTCCAGCAAGTTATTGGTCTCCAGAATGATGACTGATAAAATCAACAAATAAATAATAAATAAATAATTAAATAATAATAATAATAATACAAATAATAAACAATATGGTGCATTTAATAATAGCTTGCTCAACTACATCATCGCCATCCGTAACTTTCAAACCACTCAACACGGTTACATAATAAATATATCCATATGTTTGATATATACTTACATATATATATATATATATATATATATATATATATATATATTCATCTGTGTGTGTGTGTGCGTGCATGTGGGCTTGCTTGTGTGTGTGTGTGTGTGTGTGTGTGTGTGTGCATAAAGATTTTGTTGTATATATTTTTTCTAGAAGTTGAAGATGAAATAATACAAAAATGCAGGGTTATGTGTAGATGTATTTATGTGCGTGTGTGCGTGTGTGTTTGTTTTCTGATTTTCACTCAATTTGAGACAGTGATACCCAATATAATATATGTGCTACTTATCTATTGATAATTAATGAAGAAAAATACACGTATGTGTGTGTGTGTGTGTCCATTTTGTTGATCTATTTTTTATAGAACGAAACAAAAAAAGGTTGTATACAAAGACACAAACAAACAAACACAGACATAGAGACACACACACACATACAAAAGGTGAATTTGATTAAATACACAGACACACGTACACGCACCGTATAATAATGTCAGAGATTATTTAATACGTAATAATACTGAAGTACTAGCAGTAAAAAGAGCATTTTAAAATCATCTTATAATTCATTTTTACATATTTTCGTTTTTTATTTCACTTTATAAGTTTCATGAAATCATTTTTATATTACATTTTACTTATATTGACACTGTTGTTGCGGCCAGCAATTGCATTGTATGTGTACGTGTGCATGTGTATGTATGTTTGTGTATGTCAGTGTGTGTGTTTGTATGTATGTGTTTGTTTGTTTGTATGTATGTATGTGTTTGTATTAGTAGTTAGCTGGCTTGAAATGCTTTTTACATATCAACACACACATATATTATAATATGCACATTTGTACAATCCCACACGTCATGTTTGTAATTTCTTTTAAAGAAGCGCTATATAAATAATCATAATATTATATATTTATTATTGAGAACTATATATATATATATATATATCTATTTATATGTATATTTATAAACATATATTTATAAACATATATTTGAAGACCATATTTTATACAGTATTGTATGAATTCTACCGAATTGTTTGCATTAATCAATTTGAAAGACAAACTTTAAATCGATTAATGCCAACAATTTGGTAGAATTCATACAATACTATATATATATATATATATATATATATATATATACACGTTTCTGTATGTATGAATGTTTGTACCGTACTTATGTATGTATGATTGAACTTTTTCTAGCAGTTATTTTCCAAATTGTTTGCTCTAATGTCTGATTTGATGAAGCTAGTTATCCATCTCTTCGTTGATTCTATCATTTTTCTCATCCATACATCTAAGCTTTCATTTATTTATTTATTTATTCTTTCACTCATTGAAATGTTTATCTATTTTTTCATTCGTTCGTTCGTTCGTTTATTTATTTAACTTTTTTCATCATCATCTGATTTGCCATGATTAAGTTCGAATAAATTTCTTGTTTGCCTCTCTGCATGTGTGTTTGCCACTTGAGAGAGAGAGAGAGAACGAGAAGAGAGAGAGAGAGAGAGAGAGAGAGAAACACATTTTATTCACAGTAGTAGTAGTAGTAGTAGTAGTAGTAAAACTTCTAAATCAATTTCTATAAAAGAACTTTCTTGAGACTTTCTTTGAGGCTTATAAAAAGCAATCCTTGCCACTATTAGCACGTTAATTTGTATTGGAAACAAAATTAAATTACAGTTTTAAACTGTGTAGATTGTCTCTGTGCTTTTGAAACCAACATAGGAATAAGTAATATCTGAATAGAAGTGGCACATTAAACTTCCTAATGAATAAAATACTTTAAAATGAAATTAAACAACTATTTTCTAACTATTAGAACCTGAAGTGTGTGTTTGTTGTATGTGTGAATGTTACGTACACCTTACCATCAGATAAAAAACTGATTCATTTTTTAACGCATAGCGCATATAAATACATATTTCTACGTATTATGTATTTGAATACGGCTTATTTTGTTTTGTAATGGTATTTCATGTGTATTTATGTGCAACAAAGGAAAAGATTCTTGCTTATAATAGTCACTGTATGAGTCTATAAATAAATACATTGTGGCACATGTGCGTATGTATTTCACTGTGTTATACCGCATGTGTGTGTAGCTAGGTATTTAAATGTTGTATAATGTATCTAGTAGGTATTCCGCTACATACCGTATATATATGTATGTATAGGTATACAAATGCGAATATACAAATACATCTTCTGCTAGCATATTATTTTAGCTTATTCAAATTTTCAAACTTTCTCAAATGTCTAGTGGTACAATCTTGTGATCCTTTCCATGCATTTGAATTCTGTTATTGATTTGACTTTTTTTGATTTTTGTGATTTTATTACCGGTTTATAAAATCATTTTTATTAATATTTCCATTTAATTTCTTACATTGCTTATTACTTAGTAGATGCCTAATGAATGAATGAATCTTCTTCACTGGTATGATCATTTAACGTGTGCTTAATCTTTCGTTAATTTTTGAAGCCACACATTAGGCGCTATATAAATTCAATAAATATATATCGCATTTGCAAGTAAATTACCCTTAAAAACAAACCATAGATAGATAAATAAATGTAATAGAAACTCACAGCGAACCAAGCAAGCAGCATACCCTTTGCTTCGGCTAACTCTTCGTTGGATAGTTCAGAAAATCTTTTTTTGTAAAAATAATATTAATAAAATTATTATTTTTATGTAAGAATTATTATATCATTAATTATTATTATTATATTAAAAATTATTAAATATATATATATTATTATTTACTCACATAAAAGAATGTTCATCGTAATTGTCAGCATCACAGTGATCACTATGAGTCTTAAGATTGCAATTAACATCGTCGGTGTTGTCATAATGATTATTTTTATTATGATTATTATTATTGTTGTTATCATCACCGTCTTCATCATCATCGATGATGGTGGCAGATAACTTTACACTGCAGTTTTCGACCGCAAGCCGAGCCTTTTCTTTGAACAATTGTCTGTCTTTTTCGTATCTGTGAAAATAATATTAGTTGCTATTTAGTGACAGGTGAATGTCATAGATCAATTATTCAGTCAATCAATCGGTAATCAATCAATGAATCGGTCAATCAGTGAATCAACTAATCAATCAGTTAATCAACTAATTAATCAACCAATTAATCAGTCAGTCAATCAACTAACTCGTTAGCAGCCTCTGCATTTTCAGAATCTATGGTTGTTATTTGAATGAAGACCTTCTTCACGTGTGCAATGACTTGCCATATTTTATGGATATTTTTTCTAAAGTAACGTCGAGCGAAAAACTCACAGACAATAATTAACTAATTAATAATACTAATAATAACAACTATAATAATCAATAATAGTAAATAAATTTTGAAAAACTCCAACATCCAAGGGTAGAATGACCAGTTGATATTCAAGACCCCAGTTTGCTTGTTGATCAATGGATGGTAGATGGGTGGTGTGAAGAGAACTGACTGTTTTTAATTATAATAATTATTAAATTACTATTATTTTACATAATAATTATTATTATTTTTTAGTAATAAGAGTTCACACTTTATTAATGTAACCAATAATTATCTATCTACAACATATAATTTTTCTCTGATTACACAATAAGAGCTTGGTTTTCAAAATATGATACACAAATAATATTAATAAGAATAATAAATAGAATAATAATAATTAGAATAATAATAATAACTTACAGGGCACTCATCGTCTAGAACAGTCTCAGGAATAACAAGCTTGAATCTAAATATGGCCCCTTTGTAATAGCCATGTTTCAAACACATAACACCATTCCAAACTGGCGGAAGAAATATTTTAAAAATATTTACTATATAAAATTATATCTAAGAATAATAATTAAGATGACGATGATGATGATAGGAACGACAATGATGATGATAATTATTCATAAGTTTTTTCAATGGGAGAAAATTATAATATCTTACCATATGACGATTTGGCTGATGGTATAACATACATTCCAGGTATTTGGGCTTTTTTGAGAAGTAAACTATGAAAAAATATATATATATCTTTTTTAAACAAAATTTTTTACAAATATTTTTAAAAACATTTTCTTATCATAGTTAATTATAAATAAATTCATTTATTAGATAAAAAATATTCAGGTAATTACTATTCTTGGCATAGAGAGCATTCTTTAAATAATATTTGGGTGCAGCTTTGCTGGGCTTTGATGCGTTTCAAGTTCTGACTATTATTAGAATTTGGAAAGGTCTCATTTGGTATTGGGGGTAGTTTTCGGCCCGGGTAACAGGAATGGGATCTTTTTACCTATTTTATTTATTATTTCATAAGTATGAGCTAGTTTAATTTTAATTTAATTTAAAATATTATAAAAAAATTTATTTTTGTATTAAAATTAATTAATGAAAAAATTTTTATTAAAATTCGTCTCACTTCACACGCAGCAACATCAGCCATTCTGCATCTTTAAAACAATTATTAAAAAATTGGAACGTTTCTAAAGTACAGTTTTACTAATTGGCTAACTTCTAACTTTAATTCGAAACTCAATTAAATATCTAAGTTTAATTTGTTTAATTTAAAAGTAAAGCAGATTTAATGATTTTTTTAAATATTAGTTTCATGTTGATTGTTCGAAATTATCAGTTTTAAGTAGCATTGCAAAACTAATGATTTCTTTATAATTGCGTTGAATCAAAAATTGATTTAACATTTTTCTTAAATAAAATATTATAATTAATTATTTAAAAATAAAATTATTATAGTAAAAATTAGGATTAAAAAGTTTTGTAATTAACTTTTTAATAAAATAACTCGGCTTTCCGTACTTTTTTAAACAAAAATTTTTCTTAACAGGAAGTTTGTTTGAACACTTGCTATTTTTGTTATTCAACAATTTTCTCGCATCAGATTTCACTAACTTTTCCTATCAAATTTTTCTTTTCACGTTTTTTTCTTACTTATTTAATATATAAATTAACTTTTTTACGCGATTCGACATTTTGGTTTCTGTTATTAGTTGTCAAAAAAAAGCAGTCAGAAAGTAAGACACCTTGATCACATTCATCATCTGGACAGACACGGATATCATATCAATCCTTGGTGCCTGCCTAAAAATTTGGTGGAGACAAGTTCGTTTTTTTTCTAATTAGGACAATCATTATCATCACTATCACAACTTCAATTGCACGAATACTCCATCAACTAAGCAGCCTAATTTTCTTAAATCCTGAGTTTGGTACCTTGTGAGGTATTAGATAGAAGATTGATTGGTAGTGATAGTAAAGAAATGTCAACTGAAATTGGACATCAATATTACCAGGTGGTTAATTGAGTTTTCTGTAAACTTTTTTAAAAAGTTTTTTTTATTTTACATGTTATTTAGCAGTGGCGTCACTAGGGGGGTGCGGGGGGTGCGGACCACACCGAGTAACACCCTCACAGGGGGTGACACCAAAATATCACTGTATATGTTTTTATGTCCCTCCATGAAATTATTCTTATCATTAATTTAGCCTAACCCGCCCATCGCCCAGAAATGTATTATGAATAAAATTTTTTTCGTTCAAATCATTTTTGTATTCGACATTTATACCATTCAAATTCGACGTCCGAATTATTAGGCGCCGCGGCCGAGCACATTTAATTGTTCGTGTTTATAAATTTTGCTAGGAATGCTGTATGTCTATGGGGTGTCATGAGAGGGGTGACACCATGAGTTACCGCACCGGGTGACACCAACCCTAGTGACGCCACTGTTATTTAGTATAATATATTGTCATAATATGAATACACATATATATTATATATATTTTATATATTGTATATATTGTATGTATTGTTATTTTAGCTTCATAGCACTTGTCAACCCATTAGCACTTTATATTGAATATTATTAGAATGGTTGTAGTTTCATAAGTGCTGTGTTCTTTCTGACTCTGTTGTTTCGTTTTAGATTGTTCATTTTAGTTTTTATCTGTATGGCTGTGTTTTTTTTCAAGGATTTTTGAGGTTATTTATGTTTTGTTCTTTATTTTATGTTACATCATGTTTGTTTCCTTTGTATTTTGTTTGGTTATTGTCATAATTGTAGTGTCAAGTGAGTTGGTTTATGTATGTAAGTGTCTGTATGTGTATTTGTGTGTTTGGCTCTACCTGTGATTGTTTGATTGATCTATAGCTTTCTAGACTTTCATGAGTTAACTTTTTAAAAAAGATGAATGCATGAAAAAGTGTGTGTGTGTGTGTGTGTGTGTGTGTGTGTGTGTGTGTGTGTGTGTGTGTGTGTGTGTAAGATTGGATGATGTAAATATAATATAATAAAATGTGAGTTATGCAATTATAGGTGATAACAATTCTAAGAAGAAAAATGTAAATAAAAAAAGTGTGTGAGTATGTTTGTTTATATGTATGTATGTGGGTGTGTATGTAAGTATGTATGTATATATATATATATATATATATATATATATAAATATGTGCGTGTGTGTGTATGTGTGTGTTTTTGTAACAGTAAAAATATTTTATGAATCTGAAGATTTTTTGCTATAAAGAATCTTTCCTCTTTTTTTTTCTTTTATGCTGTATTCATTACACAACTAGCTATTTTTATCTTCTATTTTTTTCTCATGATCTTTACATGAAAACTCACACACACGCGCGCGCACACACACACAGTAGCAGTTGTATAACATTTGTATAAATATTTATTTAAATTGATATAAGAAGAAATAAATAGACCAGGATTATTATTAAATAAGATTAAATCAATCTTATGCAATATTTAAGATTGATTCTACTGTTGTATATAAATACAAAAATAAATAGAAGTATATATGACAGTGAAAGCACTATAACATTGCTATATACCAAACATTCATATATGTATGTTATTTAGATTTACATGTTTGTATATTTATGTGTACAAGCTATACAAGTTTAAGACTGTATATGTTCTTAATACAATTTGTACACACATGCACCAGAAGCATGTCTCCAATAAGATTGATACATGCATGCATTTATACAATGTGTGCATATATATGCATACAAACATGAATACATACATGTGTATTTGTGTGTGTGTGTTTATCATTGCACTTGAGTTAATGCTGTCTGGTGTTTGTTTTTGTTTAATTGTATGCCTCTGTGTGTGTGTGTGTTTGTTTGTGTGTGTATGTGGTGTGTGTGTTATTGTTTCAATTTCTTTGACAATTATTTTTATATTTTGTAACCAACCTAAAGTGCCCTGGGCATATGTAAATTGAATTATATGACTGATTTAGTCTTAATTTGTTGATTGATTGTTTGTTTGATTGATTGTTTTGTTTTGTTGGTTGGTTGATTAGTTGGTTGATTAGTTGGTTGATTAGTTGGATGGTTGGTTTGTTGGTGGGTTGGTTTTATCTATTACTTTTATCACCTTTTTAATATTTTTTTGTAATTTTTCATCAGGATGCCCAGAGAGGGGGAGGCAGAAATGGAGGAGACAGCAATTTCACCAAAGAGGTCCTCACCCAAATTTATAATTATTCTTATTTACTTGCAATTAATTGTAGTTAATTACATAATAATGTTATTATTTAATTACTCTATGAACTTTAATGAGTGTTTCAATCATTCATTTAAGTGTTTGTGCTCTTCTATGTGTGTGTCTGTCTGTCTGTCTGTCTGTGCTGTGAGTAACTGATGTAATGCATACTCATGCTATGACACAAATCAATCCCAACTTTTTACAGAACTTTTAAAAAGAGAGGAGAAATCATTGCACATAAAAATTTTAAAATATACTTCTACAGAGGTTCATACAATGTACACATGTCTGGCCTACTGAATTTATTACTTTCGTTCATTTAACTCTGCCAATTTAACATTTTACATCTTGATTGGCGTCACTATTGTTGTTTTCTAGACATCTGGCAGTCTTGACATTGTAATTGTTTGACCTTCACGTGTGACCTTTGGCCTACACACACACACAGGAACTGGAACGCATGGGAATTCAATCGCGCATGACTCCAGCGGAGGCCCTCCGTAAACTGAAGGAGCGCGAAGATCAGATCAGGAAGGACATAATAAAGGAGATGAAGATCAAAGAGGGCGCCGAAAAAATGAAAGAAGCGGCTGCCGACCGCAAATCAGTGGCCGCCGAGATCAAAAGGGCGACGTGCCATCTCGACGACCTTCACGCCGATCTTGACAATTTGAGGACTTTCAAGTTTATGATCGAGTCGGGTGGGCTGGATGTCATCTCGGAACCTTCTGGAAGATCAGGAACGGTTGGAAGAAGTGAAGTGGCAGGTTGCTGGATAAGTGAGGGAGGGGGTCGTTGCGAAAATTTGTATGTGTGCTTGTATGCGTGTGTATGTGTGCTTGTATGCGTGTGAATGTGTGCTTGTATGCGTGTGTATATGTGATTGTATGCGTGTGTGTGTGTGTGTGTGATTGTATGCGTGTGTATGTGTGATTGTATGCGTGTGTGTGTGTGTGATTGTATTCGTGTGTATGTGTAATTGTATGTGTGCTTATATGCAGGCATGGATGACATAAACGAAGAAGAGGATAATGATCCTTTGCAAAGGAAGATTAACTCAATACAGAAAAAAATTGAAATCGAGTTGAAGGTTATTATTTGATGGATGAATGAGTGATTGAGTGAGGGAGTGAGTGAGTGAGTGAATGAATTTATAGTATTGATTGATTGATTGATCCTTTTTAGATTTTTGTTAAATAAATTTATTTATGACGATTTATTTACTTTAATAATTTTTCCTCTATAAATTTATGGGAATCATTTGCATGGAACACATATTATATGTATCAATACTCTATTTATCAAGCTGCACAGACATGTGTGTGCGTGCGTGCGTGCATACGTGTGAATATGTGCGTGCGTACGTGTGTATGTGTTTATATTTGTATGTGTGTCTGTTCTGCATTATTTATATAACTCTGTTATGTTTATGTCAAAGTTAATTTTATATTTTATAAGCCAGTCAGCCAGCTGTTATGTTGAATTGCCTCTGATATGATTTTTTGTGTACGTGTGTATATATGTGTGTGTGTGTCTGTGTGGTTTTGTATGTGTGTGAATGTGTGTGTGTGTGTAAGTTTTTATTTCAATATGTATTCACGATGATCATGCTTTGTTTTAAATAGACTTGTTTGTGTTCTGGCTTTTCGTTAATTTTCAAATCTGGTGATAGCATTAGCATCTGCGGTACTTTTGAAGCACAGGCGCACTCACACGCACACACACACACACACACGCACTCACACGCACACACACATACGACACGCACACATGCGTACAGGTAAAGCAGGGAGCGGAGAATATGATTGACAAGTACAACAGTGGCTCGCAGAGAGACAAAAAACTCCACCAGGAGGCACTCAATATGCACAGCGACGCTAAACAGAAGATCGATTTTTTGAGGATGCAACAAGTGGGTTTCATGATGACGATGACGGGGGTGGTGTTAGTGATGATAATGATGGTGATGGTGGTCGTAGTGATGATGGTGATGTTATGATAACGGTGATGGTGATGGCAAAAGTAATAAGACTATTGTTCATCAACATCATCACGTCAGGTCAGACTGAGGAACCAGTCTAGCAACAAGGAAGGGAATGACAACAGTTGGTCTACTGCATTATCATTCATTCATCATTCATCCACCTTCACTTATTTATCCATTCAGTTGTTCTTTCTCTCATTTATTTTTCCTTCATTCATTTATTTATTTATTGGTCGGTCTGTCTGCCTTTCTTTCATTGTTTTACTAACTTGCTCTTGCATTAATTCACTCACTTATTCACACACACTCGTTCATCCACTCATTCATCCATTCATTCATGCATTCATTCACTCACTCACTCATTCATTCATTCATCGGTGTAGAGACGAGCAAGTTGGAGGAGAGGGTGGACGACATCAGGCATCACATCAGGATTGAAACTGCCATCCAGGAGGGTGCCAAGAAACTCCTGCAAAGAACCCAAGATAAGAAGGCATATGCTGAGGTTGCAAACTGTTCTTCTCTGAGATGATAATGATGATGTAGTTGTGATGATGATGATGTAGTTGTGATGATGATGATGATGTAGTTGTGATGTTGATGTAATTGTGATGATGTTGATGGTGTGGTTGTGGTGATGATTATGATGTGGTTTTGATGATGATGATAATGTAGTTGTGATGATGATGCGGTTGTGATGATGATGATGATGATGATGATGTGGTTGTGGTGATGATGATGATGTGGTCAGGGTAGTGTTTAAAAGTGCAGAGGTCGCGGATCACGATGGTCCTTTGAAATTGCTGGCGACCATCTTTTAAATAAAGTAACAATCAAAAAAAAAATTACTAAAAAATAAATGAATGAACAAACGAACGAATGATGAACAAATGAATGAATGATCAAACAAATGAATTGATGCACTACTCAGGCCCAGAACACTGAACAACTTGCAAGTATGAAGTTAGAATTACTGAAGATGTCACTTGAAAGCCGACTGGATGATCTTGTTGACCAGGTGTGTACGTGTGTGTGTGTACGTGTGTATGTGTGTTTGTGTGTGTACGTGTGTGTATGATTATGTTTTTCTGGTTGTATGTCTTTTCAGAATTTTGTGCAAGGTAAAATTTTTTTTGTTTTTTGCATTTATTGCTGTTTCAATTGAAGAATGCAATTTGTCATGATACACACATACACACACACACGCCTATATATACACATATATGTACACACATACACACACACACACACACACACACACACATATATATATATATATATATATATATATATATATATATACACATATATATATATATGGTGACAGTTAATGAAATGCAGTGTGGGTTTATGCCTGGTAGGGGAACGGTGGATGCGTTGTTCATGGCGAGAATGTTGCAGGAGAATTATAGAAAGAAGAAACGAAGATTGTACATGTGTTTTGTGGATCTAGAAAAGGCTTTTGATCGAGTACCGAGGAAGGTCATTGAATGGGCGTTGAGGAAGAAAGGAGTGAATGAGATACTTGTTAAAGCTGTGATGCAGCTGTATGAAGGGGCAAAGACAAAGGTGAGGGTTGGAAGGGGGATGTCGGACGCTTTTAGTGTTAAGGTAGGAGTGCATCAAGGATCAGTGTTATCACTGTTTCTGTTTGCAATTGTGATGGATGTTGTGTGTGGAAACATAATGGAGGGGTTGTTATTTGAGATTTTGTATGCAGATGATTTAGTCTTGATGGCTGATAGCATGGAAGAATTGCAGTTAAAATTTGACAGATGGAAAAGTGTTATTGAAAAGAAAGGGTTAAAAGTTAATATTGGTAAGACGAAGGTAATGGTGAGTGGAGAAGGTGGGGAACGAGTGATAAGTAAAATAGACCCTTGTGGGGTATGTGATACGAGAGTGAAGGCTAACTCGGTATTGTGTATAGGATGTCAGAAATGGGTGCATAAGAGATGTAGTGGTGTGAGGGGGGCACTGAAAAAGGTGGAAGGCACGTTCAAATGTAAGAAATGTGTTCATGGTGTGATTAATAGGACGGACGCAAGGACGGGGTTGAGTGATGGTATTGAAAGAGTGGAAAGCTTTGTTTACTTAGGGGATAAGCTGAATGCGGATGGAGGATGTTTGAGCGCAGTTACGGCTAGAGTTCGTGTGGGATGGATGAAATTTAGGGAACTGGGTGGGGTATTGTGTGGAAAGAAATGGTCAGTGAAGATGAAAGGGAGGGTATATAAAGCATGTGTGAGAGCAGCGATGATATATGGTGGTGAAACTTGGGTGTTGAGGAGAGAGGAGGAAAGTGTACTGCAGAGGGCTGAAAGAGCTATGGTGAGGATGATGTGTGGGGTTAAAGTGAAGGATAGGAGGAGTAGTACAGAGCTGATGTCAATGATGGGACTGAATGAGGACATTGTGACATTGATAAGGAGATCGAGATTGCGGTGGTATGGACATGTGTTGAGAAGGGATGAAAGGGTCGGGATTAGGCGAGCGTTGGAGTTCGAGGTTGAAAGAGTGGTGGGAAGGGGTCGTCCGCGATTGGGATGGAGAGAGCAGGTGGAGAAGGACAGGGTGAAAGCGGGGTTGCGTGATACTGAGGCGAGTGACAGATGTGGATGGAGTCGAGGGGTATTTCGGTTTCATCATAGGTAGCCAAACGGCAACCCCCGATCTCGGGGAAAATGCCGTCTAAACGTGTGTTGTTATATACACACACATACACACACATGCAATGTGTTAATTTTTCCCACTCTGCCTTTTTTTTCACATCAACACCTACTTACTCAAAAGGATTTTTGTCTCCATTGGTTCATTTCTTTGTTTACAACTTTCTTCTCTGTCTACTTATGCTGTCGCTCTATTATTATTTTCTACCTTTCTGCTTTGTTTATGCTATTTTTTTCTTGCAGTTAAGAACTGTTAAATAAAAAACTTCTTTTGATAAAGTGCTCATTTAAGAATTCTATATAGGCAATAATATGTGTATTGAGATACACTTACATACAAACATGAAGGCACGCACACTTTCCCTCTCTCTCTCTCTCTCTCTCTCTCTCTCTCTCTCTCTCTTTCTCTCTTTCTCTCTCTCACCTTCGCGCACACACACACGCATACGCACACACAGGTACCTAGCAGTAAGATAGAGATGTTGAGGCAAGATTTGGACTCAGTCCTGCTGTCTCCATCGACGCCAGGAGCAGCCACTGCAGCAAGCACGACATGCACGAAGGGCTGGTCTAACAACTTCAAGAACAGGCTGCAGGCACTCTCTGGCAAGTTGAACGTCAGGTCGGTTTCAGATTTTCTGAATAGTAGAATGTTGTGCCAGTGATTAAAATGTTTCAGCTTCAGTTCATTGAAATGTTATCAGATTAGTTTGGTGTTAGATAAACGATCGAGATTTTTTAATTCACAAAATGTCCTCCAGATTAGTTGGATGTCAAGATTTACTAGAGGAGATTCCATCTCGCACCTCTTCCACCTCAAGCAGGAAGGGTGACCAGACAATTTCAGGGTTCATTTCAACACCGTCTGAAGTCAAGACGCCATCCTCCAAATCCATGAGACATAATAGGAACAAGTACAACGTTCGAGAAGACTTATCTTGTTAGTAATTGTTCTTTATTATATTGATACAAACACACTCACACACTCACAAATGCACATGCAGCCGAAGTGAGAGCTACGTTGTACTTGGATAATCAGTTGGTAGGCGAGACAAGCTGGAGGAATGTCAGTCAGCAGTGTTGGGATCAGAGATTCTGCTTTCAATTAGATAGAGTAAGTTGCTGTTGTTTGTTTGATGTTTTGTTTGGAGTCCAAAAATAGGCTTGTGCCTTAATGGTTGAGCTCAACCGAAGCTAATGCTACCGACTAATGGAACGCACACAGGCCCGGGAATTAGCAATTTTAATTTCCTGGAGAGATTACAGGCAGCTTTCAGCAGTGAAATTTTTGCGATTGGAAGATTTTCTCGACGATCAGAGGCACGGAATGACCATTGATCTTGATCCACAGGGTATCCTATTTGCAGAGGTTGGTCCGTCTGGTAGAGAGTGCTTTATATATATATATATATATATATATATATATATATATATATATATATATATATATATATATATATGTGTGTGTGTGTGTGTGTGTGTGTGTTGTACATTCTCGTGCCTGTCCCGTCATTTGGCGTCGTCCTCAATTGGATTCTCTTCACGCCCCACCACATCACGTCCCACCACATCTGCCCCTCATTCAACTTCCACAGATTAAATTCCTCGATCCTCAGTTATCCATGAAGCCAAAACTTCAAAGACAGAGGCAACTCTTCCCAAAAGCGAAAGGTGATGATGGTGATGGTGATACTGATAACGATGATGATGATGTTAAAGAAGATGTTTTTGGTGATGATGGTGCACTAATTGAGAAACATTGATCTTTTAGGTAAGAACGTAATGCGACCGAACCAAGCCGACTTGAGTCTTCCGTTCTGGACCCGCCTATTCATAAAGGGCCACTTCCAGCAGACCCCTCCTCCACTGCCCTCCTCTGAACCTCCATCTCTTGCGGGCCATGCCACGACTACTCAGCCTTTTGTGCCACCATTTCAACACCATGTTTCCGGTTTGTGCTTTTTTTTTAATAGCTTAATTTAATTCAATTAATATTAATTAATTAATCGACCACCACTTAGTCGCATCAAATCGAGATGCCACAAAATTCTCCCTGGATGAGTCCTACATCTTGTCCCCCGAGGCATACCCCAGGGTCGTCGCCCCCCACTCCTCTGACGACGCCTTCCTTCCAGGTGGGGGCATGTCAGGGTCGTCGGCGACTGCCAACAATGCTGTGAACAGCAGTAGTACCTTCAAGAAGGCTGATAGTCACGAGATCGTCCTGGTTTGTTCCTCATTCGTTGGTTCAGTTTGTAGTTTTGATTGATTGCTACTTTCGAATATGATATCGCCGATACTTTTTAGGCAGAAGAGAAATCTCGATAGGTACTCGCTGCCGATGCGTTCGAACGTCAAGTGAACATTATTGCATCAAGTTTGAAAATTTTGCGCGTATTTTTAGTGGTGAATGTTGCATTTACAATTGAGTTTTGCCGCCTAGCATGTCTGTTGTTAAAGACTTGTTTGGCCACCGTTGTTTCTCCTGTATATCCTATGAATTGTTAGGGGTGGTTGTTCTTTCTTTCGAATAGTTTGAAAGACTCCAAAGAACTGTTTAATCTTTTATTTCACAAACCTTTTTAACTGTTGAGGGGCAGTGGGTTTATAAGATAGCAATATTTGCTCTATTGTATCATTTCTGTTCGGGCAAACTTATGCTAATTAGTTGAGAAAATATTTGAAGGATAACCTGAAAGGAGCGAAGCCATCAGCCACGTACTCCACCTCGACAACACCTCGCCACCCTCGACCGATCATCGAACCACCCCCTAAACCTGCCGAGAGAAAACCAAAGTTAGTAAAATGATCACGTGATCCATGATGATGATGATGATGATGATGACGCACTGATCACATGATCATGACGTAATGATTGCACGTCACGAATGAATGAATCAGTGTTTTCGATTCACCTGTAAACAGTTTCAAAAGTTTATTTAGATGGGATGACTTTCATTCAACGTTTCTTGGTTTCCTGCTTTTTTTTCAATCACTCACATTGACATTGTTATTCATTATAATCAATTAGCTATTTAATTAATTAATTAGTTAACTAATTAACTAAGAATAATAATATCTTGTTCAATTTTCAGAGTAGAGAAACTGACCATAGACCATTTCAGATGCATTGCCGTGCTAGGCAGGGGTCATTTTGGAAAGGTCATTCCTATTATATTTTTGGCTCTTGTTTTTACCTAAACACACACACACACGCGCACATACACACACACACGCACATACACACACAAACATACACACACAAACATACACACATCAGGTTAAATTTACAAACTTGTAGGTTATACTCTCCCAATTCAAGAACACTGGCGACTATTACGCCATCAAAGCCCTAAAAAAAGGTGACATCATCGCCAGGGAAGAAGTTGACAGTTTGATGTCGGAGAAGCACATATTCGAGATCGCCAACGCCACGAAACATCCATTTCTCGTTAATCTACTCGCCTGCTTCCAAACACCCGTCTGTCAAGTTTTCTTCCTAGATTTTTTACACACATACACGCACACACACATACACACAAACCAACACATACACAGGAGCATGTATGCTTCGTGATGGAGTATGCAAGAGGTGGGGATCTAATGATGCACATACACGCTGACGTTTTCACTGAACCTCGGAGCGTCTTCTACGCCGGCTGCGTCGTCCTAGGCCTGCAGTACCTGCACAACCATAAAATCGTTTACAGGTTGGCATCTTGTTTCGTTTGACTGCTGCTGCTGCTGCTGTAATTATTGTTAGCTGTCCTGTTGGTTTGTTTTAGTTGCAAATGATTGTTTACTCAACTGGCTATCAACTCAACCAACCATTATATCAAACCAGGCGTATATAAACACAATGCAATTATGCACATACATTATACACACGCACACACTATACACACACGCACACGCACGCACACACGCGCATGCATATTTGTATACACACACTCAAACTTGAACGCAGAGATTTGAAACTGGATAACTTGCTACTGGATGCAGATGGCTTTGTGAAGATTGCTGACTTTGGCCTCTGCAAGGAAAACATGGGATTCGGTGACAGAACCACAACCTTTTGTGGCACCCCTGAATTTCTTGCCCCTGAGGTGCTGACCGAGCCCTCTTACACCAGGGCCGTCGATTGGTGGGGTCTTGGGGTGCTCATTTTTGAGATGTTGGTTGGAGAGGTAGGTGGCCTTCTGTTTATTGCAATATGAAATTTTTTTTTTTAACAGCCCACAAACAAACAAACCAATGCGTCATCATTCCATCGCAATCATTTTCATTTACTTGGTCACGATCATCATCATCATCATCATCCTAGTTACCACCATCATCATCATCATCCTAGTTACCACCATCATCATCATCATCCTAGTTATCACCATCATCATCGTCATCATCAACCTAGTTACCACCATCATCATCATCATCATCCTAGTCACACCACCACCATCATCGTCATCATCATCATCGTCACCACCATTACCACCACTAAGGCACCATTCCCTGGCGACGATGAGGAGGAGGTGTTCGATAGCATCGTCAATGAGGAGGTCAAGTACCCCAGGTTCCTATCTGCCGAGGCCACCACCATCATGAAGAGGGTCGGTCAGACGATGATGATGATGATTATAAGGATGATGAGAATGATGATAAGGATGATGATGATGATGAGAATGATGATGATGATGAGAATGATGACGTCGACGACGATGATGATGATGATAAGGACGATGATGATGATGATAGTCACCAATACGGCAACACTCCCAACAGCTGATGAGGAAGAACCCAGAGAAGAGGTTGGGGTCAAGTGAGGCCGATGCAGAGGATATCAAAAAGCAGGCCTTCTTCAGGGTGTGTGTGCATGTGTATGTTTGTGTGTGTGTGCGTCTATGTGTGCGTGTGTCCTGTCAGTACGCATTTTAGTATACTTATACATCTCTGTCTATGTACGTGTTTGCATGTAATTATTCATACATTGGCAGATAGCTACATACTTTCATACATACATACATACGTTCAACACATACTTGCATACATACATACATACATACAACACATATGTACGTACGTACATACAACACATACATACATACATCACATGCGTACATACATACACACCTGCACGCCTAAATCTATACAGAATGTGAACTGGGAAGACCTTCTAGCAAAGAGAGTTAAACCTGCTTTTGTGCCAATTATTGTTAGTTTTACATACTTTGTTTGTGTAGCAGTAATAAAAGTAGAGGCAGTAGAAGTAGTAGCAACATTAGTAGTAGTTGTGGTAGTGGTAGTAGTAGCAGCAGTAGTAGTTGTTGAAGTAGCAGCAGTAGCAATATTTGTGATGCAATTTTATTTTTAAATACATAGCGTATAATATAATCTCAATTATTTACGTAGTAATGCAGATAAAATAATTGAAATGATGCAGAAACACGCTGAAGATGTCAGTAACTTCGACGACGAGTTCACCTCTGAGAAGCCAGTCTTAACGCCGCCGAAAGAATGGAGGCCACTGCTTGAAAATGACCAGAAACATTTCAAGGATTTTGATTTCGTTGCCGGCTGGAGTACTGGGATATGTTGATTGATTGGTTGGTTGGTTGGTTGGCTGGCTGGTTGGTTAGTTGGTTGATTGGCTGATTGGCTAGTTGGTTGATTGGTTAATGAGTTGATTGTTTTTTTGTTTGTTTGATTGATTGATTGATTGATTAATTGGTCTCTGTTGATTAATCTTCTAAACACATAAATTACTTCATTTCTCATAAACTTTAAATATTTTTAACTTTTCCAGGGATGGAAAACCAAGATGATTGTGATAATGATCATGCAGCTATATATATATATATATATATATATATATATATATATATATATATATATATATTCAACCTATGTATATATTTTTGTAGACTGTATAAGGATTTAAGCACAAATAAGGGATATTTAAAACAAGTTACAACAAATATTATTATAACCGCATGAGTAGTGTTTTTAATTAATCAATTAACTAATTAATTGGTTAATTAGTTGGTTAATTATTCAGTTGGATAATTGGTCAATTAATATTTCGTTTTTTCATTGTGTGTATCCATTCTATATTTACACTTGAAGCATGTTATATTATATTATGCTATTATTATTATAATTATTATTATTATTATTATTATTGCGACGTTATTAATTATGGTTTATTAATATTATTATTAATATTTTCAATAATTATATTATTATTTTGTACCAGAATTCTTAATTTGATAACGAAGTTATAATAATTTTCCAAGCAATTATTTTATTTTATCTTTATATACGTACACGAATAAACAAACCAATGTCTCTCGCTTGTCTTTTTTTGGGTTTGTCTGTTTATCTGTTTGTGGCTTTGTGTGTATGGGCTTGTTTGTATGTGTTTGTTTGTTTGTATGTATGAGTGTGTGTGATTTGGTGTATGAGTATGTTAGTATGTATGTGTTTGTTTGTATGTGTTTGTTTGTTTGTATGTATGTGTGTGTGTGATTTGGTGTATGAGTATGCTTGTGTGTTTGTGACTATGTATGTGTACTTGTGACTTTGTGTGATTATATCTACATATTTGTCCCTGCTTATCATTATAACTCTATATAGTTTTTTAATGTATGTATGTATGTTTGTACGTCTGTCTGTATTTGTCTGTATGCTTCTCTCATTATTAATATGCTTAAGATTTTTGCATTTGTATCTATGAATTTTGTTGTTGAAATTTTTGTGACATGATACAAACATATGTTCATGTATATATTTATAATATATATATATATATATATATATAATAATAATAATAAATTTACTGATACATATGTATATATATATACGGATATAATTTATGTTGTATTCAGATATAAATATATGAATTTTATTGTGTATAAAACTTATATATTTAAAAAGTGCCAACGGTTTATTTAAAGTTTAAAGAATTTTTCTACACGTATATAAGTTTAGTTGATATACAAACATACATACTTGCGTACATACAGACAAACAAACATACATAAATACACACATACAAAGAAAAACGAGCATACATACGTACACACGTACAATTAAATAATTTTTTAATAGACTTTCATATTGATGGCTTAACATATTACATAATGTTCGTATACATTTCGTTCGTGTATATATATATATACATACATGTTTATTCTAAAAGTTGAGTTTCAATAAAAGTTAACAGTTTATAAAAGCTACAATTTTTCGTTCTTTCTCAATTTTTTCACATAATTTGTATTCTTTACTCAATTGTTATTTTTCTGATTGGTTATTATCAAACTTATTATTTCATCATTATTATAATATAATATTGATTGTTTAGTAAAATAGGTAGTAAGTAGAGATTCTGTTGGTCAGCTGAATGGTTTATCAATTGATTGTTGGAGCAATGATTGTTGATTGATGCATTGATTGGTCAGTTAATTAATTAGTTGATTGATTAATTAGTTGGTTGATTGATTGATTGGTTGGTTGGTTGGTTGGTTGAATTTATTACAACTCTGTTGTTATTTGTAATATTCCACACACATATATATATATTTTCATGTTTCTTATATGTTTTATTATGATGAAAAATCCTTGACAATATAATAATACCATTATTATTATTATTATTATTACAAATAATAAATTTATTATTATTAAGAAATTTTGTCTACTATTTATACAATAATTTAAGTTCGTTTTTTCTCCTTTGTAAATGTGTATTTATTTGAGTGGGTATTTTTATATTAGCATGCAAATACACACACACACACACACACACACACACACACACATACTTATTTAATCATACATACATACTAACATACATATATATATATATATATATATATATCTTCTTTTATAATATATATATTATTCTTTTATTATATATATATATATATATATATATATATATATATATATATATATATATATATATATATATGTCATACATATGCCAATCAACTATGCAATTATATATGAATAAAATATATTTATATATATATATATATATATATATATATATATATATATAATTAATTCTAACATTATTCAGGCTATTTATTTTTAGAAACTTAATATTTAAAAACATAATTATAACAATGGCGTGTGGTGATGATTCCTGTTGTCATCATAATAATTATAAATAATAATTAATAATAATTATTATTATTATTAGGATGATAATTATTATTATTAGGATGATAATTATTATTATTTTCGAGATGATTTTTTTTTCATCATTCAATATCAGTGTAAATTCATTTTCATTAGTTGCTACCCTGTACATAATTGCATTTCATTAGAATTCTCTTTCATTCTTCGCTCCGTTCATTCATTTATTTTTAATTAATTAATTCATTCATTCATTCGTATTCATTCATTCATTAATTCTTTCAGTTTATCCGTCCGTCTAGATTATGCATTATGATGGATAACATTCTAAATAGGTTTTTGCACTCTTATTACATCCATTTAATCTTTCTTTCGTTCATCCATCTACCATTTTATTCATCCATCCATCCATTTATTCATCTAGTTTGTTTTTTCATTCACTCATCTATTCATCCATTCATTCACCTAACTATACAATCGCTTAACCATTCATTAATTTAATTCATTCATTCATTCATCTATCCATTCATTCATTCATTCATTAATCAATTCACGAATTATTGACATTTCCACACTCTCCCTTGGGACGTTTTTCCAATGTTGTTTCTCTTTCTTTCCGTCTAAATTATTATTTAACAATGCTACACGTAGGTTGATAGTGACTATCCATATAATTATTCATAATTATTTCCGTTTATAATATAGATAAACTATAATAATATAACACAATCTATGTAAAGATTTTGAAATAGTGGAAAAGCGTATGGATTAGATTACTCAAATTTGTACATAAGACATTGCACACCACAAACACACGCACACATATACACACACACATACGTACACACACACATACATACACACACACATACGTACATACACGAATCGAAACAAACTGAAAGATTGATGTTAAGTACTGTTTATTATTATTCAATTCATACTCAAAAGTTATTAGTAACGTTAAAATCGTATTATTAATGAGAATAATAATCTAATTATTTATTAATTATAGTAATTAAAACATAAAAAGATATTAATAATGTTGTTTAATGATAAAGATGATGGTGATAAATGTATCTTAAAAATTTTTAGCTTCAAAATTACGATAAGGCATTAATATATATATATCTATATCTATCCATCAATATATATATATATATATATATATAGAGAGAGAGAGAGAGAGAGAGAGAGAGAACAAGAAAGAGCTTTATAAGAAACAAAGGTACATATCTTCATGATACACAAAATATACAATAAGGAGATGACAATATAGCTTCATCAAGTTTTGTTCTCATTCAAACTTCTGATTTTTTAAACTTTTCAAAAACTTATTATCTTCGTATGATATATGTTAAATGTGTAATATAATTTAAGAAAAATCACCCGCCACCATTTATAAATGAAGTGATTTTATGATTAGCATAAATTAATTAACTAATTTAATAAAAATAATAGCGTTAATAATACTATTATTGTTAATAATCTTAATGGTAACCTTTGAGAACTCTCATGATTTTTTAGTTTTGCAACAAAACAAGTTAAAGTAAAATGTGCATCGAACGAAAGAATTAAATAAAGAGATGAATTCAATTCAATTGTGTAACTTTTAGCAAACATCCTAGCCAATCAACCAACCAATCAAAAAACTTCTCTAGCAATAGCTTATGTTCATTCGTCCATTCCAACCGTATATACAAATATATATATATATATGCATAATATACATACATAAACAAACATTAATAAACATTTCAAACTCTTCTAAATGTCACTGAGAAAATTCCACATGTACAGATTAATATAATACACACGGGATATACATCCAAGTATGACCATTATCGCTTAACTCACACAACAACAATTGCTATCTTTAATATTAATTAATATTAATTATTATTATCATATAAATAATAAAATGGTTAATAGTGTTTATTTTCAATAACATCAGTTAGTTTATATCCGTGCGTACGCGTGTGTGTGTGTGCGTGCGTGTGTGTGGAGTACATTCAAGTTACATACTGTTGGAGGAAGTAATATAGTTTTTTGGATAATTTTTTACTATTACGTGAAAAATATTATATGATTAATTGGTTGATTGATTAATTGGTTGATTGATTAATTGGTTGATTGATTAGTGGATTTAGAAATTGAATGTTCATAAAAAAGAAAGTTTATGATGAATCATTTAAAATATGAACTTCATGATTTTCCCAATCAGTCACTCATTAATTCAATCAATCATTTATTCAACTAACAATCAGCCACCCATTCGTTCATTCATCCAACCAATCACATCTAATCATTTCTTCGATCAATCATTAACTCACTCAACCTATTATCACTAAAATTAATTTATTAACAATTTATAAATGATAATCCCTATTAACACGAAGGCTATCACCATCCTTCCTCATCATCATAATTTACCCATCATCATCACCATTACCAACATCACCACAGTTCATCTTCATTAACATAATTTATTTATCATAGCCACGACTATTTATGATAATCAATCAGGCAAATCGGCATTCTCTTCAGCCTCGTCTAGCGACATCTGCACGAATTCAGCCATGTTGACCTTCTTCTCCTCACTGTGGACGATGAAGGGGTGCTCCAGTAACTGCGTGTAGTTTGGCCTCTCTACGAATTTCTTCTTTAGGCTGGTTTTGTTTCAAAATTCATTATTAGTAGTATTAGCAACTAATATACCTACATGAAAACAAACACATACAATCTCTCTCTCTCACATACACGAAAACTAACACATAAAAACACACACACATACAAACAGACACACAGATACGAACCAAGCATCAATAAAATCTTGAAATTCTTCCGAATATCCAGCCCTAGGCAGTCTGGGTGGGTTCTCGTTGACAACTTGCTTCAGCTGTTCGAATGGAGTCCTCCACGTTTGGTACGGGAATTTCCCAGTTGCTAATTCAATCTTCATGAATATTAATTATGTTACTTATTAATAAAATGTTAGATCACCGTCGTAACGCAAAATGTTAACTGTAATTAGGTCTGACCTCAAAAAAATGATCAGCTCGTGATTTACTGCAACAATAAACTACCACCAAAACACCAAACGAACATGATCAACAACAAGCTGATAATAATAACATAATAATGTAATATTATGATAATATAATATAACCATCAATCAATTATTCAATCAATAAATCAATCATTTAATTAATATAAATTGTTATAGCCAAATAGTACCATAGAAATTCCAAGACTCCAAATATCAGAGCGAACATCATAACCCTTGCCTGACACATCTGGGTCTATTCTTTCTGGCTGTTGAATCAATCAACCAATCAATTAGTAAACACATCAACCAATCAGTTAGTATTCAACACACCAATCAATCAAACAACACAAAATATATCAATCAACTTATCATAAAATACAATATCTACGGGCCAGCTGATCAAAAACCAATTAAAGGCTTATAAAACAGCAACTTAAAACCCTCCAATCTGTCAAGTTATCTGTTCATTTACTTGCTTATCGACAAAATCAATCAACCAATTAACTATTTAATCAATCAATCAATCAATTAATTAATTAATTAATTGTTCAATTAACTAATGATTAAGAAACTGACAGCCATATATGGCTTGCAGCCTGCGTCCATGGTCTTTGCAACTGAATCAACCAGGTTCCCACTAATTCCGAAATCACATATTTTTACCTGCAAAACAATAATAATAACAATTACAACAATAAAAATAATAACAACAATAAATAATAAAAGTAATAACAAACAATCATAATAATAATAATCCCAACCACCTCGCCGTTCCTATTGATGAGTATGTTGGATGGTTTGACGTCTCGATGGATGACTTTCAACTCAGCCTGGAGATAGTGCAATGCTTTTACAACCTGCGATTAATTATAATCAATAATTTTAACTAATAACTATAATAATATCCTAATTTCAATTCATAATTAAATAATATGCAACTCTAATTACGGTTTAATCTAGAACTTTCATGAAAGCCATTATGACATGCCAATATTATTAGAATAGTTACCTATGTAACATATTTCCATTATAATTAATTATCATTATTATTATATATCATTATAATCGTTATCACTATTGATATTCTTATCGTTATTATTGAAACATAAGTTAACTTTTGCTCACAGCAACAGCAATTTTTCCTAGAATATCCTCCGGAATGACCTTGCCATTCTTGTAAATGTCCTTGTAAAACTTATCCAACGACGTGTCCATCACCTCCATACAAATCCACACATCTCCCTGATCAATCAATTAATCAATCAATCTTTTAACCAGCCAGCCAGGCCACCAACAACCTGCTAGCCAACCAACAACCAATCAGATAAACAACAAATCAATCAATCAATCAACCAATCAGTCAATCAATCAACCTCTCTAAAAAGCGCTCCATAGAATCGAACGGTGTATGGACAGTTTCCAGTTCTCATATTAACCTCCAAATCCATCAACAGTCGCTTCTGCTCCAAAGAATTTACAGTGCAGGTAATTCGCTAGGGAAAAATAAATTATCTTCAATTATTATTTTTTATTACTTAGAACTAGAGATAAATTATATATGTTCATTTATTCAGCTAAATGATCAACAAACCAACCAATTCACCAATCACTCAATATCAACCAACCTTGACAGCCATGATGGTTCCTGATTCTTTATGTAACATTTTGTCAACAACTCCATAAGCGCCATTCCCCAATCGACTGATAAATTCGAGGTCTGTTGTGTCTATGTTGTACTGTTTTCCATCTATGGTGATTGTCGGATCTATGTTGATTGGGGGCCTGTTATTTATGATTTTTTTAAAATTTATTTGTGCTGGATATATTAAAAGGTTTGATTAGTGAAAAGCAGTGAAAAGTGAACTTACACTGGACTGGGGGCAGGTTGGATTGGTTCTAACTTCAATCTATTTTCCTTATCTAAAATAAAATTAATTCATTTTAAATGTATTTATTATTATTTATTACTATTTAAATATTTAGTAATAATATTATTTATTACATTAATTTAATTTTATAACATATAATTTAGAGTAAAGGTGAAAGCTAAAATTACTGATTGCATCCTGTCATAACATTTCATTCGCATACATGAAATAATTTTCAAGTTAATGAGAAACTTTTTCAGAAAAAATTATATCTGATTATTAAAATAAAAAAAAACTAAAAAAACTAACTTCTTACAACAGACTAACACTAAATTACTAAATCAATAATAATGCAAAATGCACAAGTTTTAAATTAAAACATATTAATTTGCAAACAGTATAAAATAAAAGAAAAGTAAAATAAAAAGTAACTAATTTTAAAAATTTACTAACTTCTTTTCTGTTTCCCCCCACGTCCACTGCCAGCAGAACCTTGATCACCAGAGCTTGCACTCATCATCTTAATTGCAAAATAGACTATTCGTAAAGTTTGCAAAAGTAAAATTAGGTAATTTTTCAATTAGGGAAATATTTTAAAAACTTGCGAAGTTTACCAAAGTTACTAGTTAGGACAATATCCGGTTAATTTGTGTAACGAGAAAGTTTAAAAAATATGTCGAGCTTGCAATTATTAAAAGTTACAAATTAGCGTATCCTCATCCTAATTTCGAATTAGACGTTGAGTTCTACTAAATTGCGGAAGCAAATTTTAAACTTTGCAACTAGAATTTTATCAAATTTCACGATCGTTTCCTGCAAAAGTTCTCTTTTTTCAACAGAAATAAGTCCCAGGGTTTAAAAATACGAAAAGGTAAAAGATTTTCTAACAATCGGACGCCAAGCGACAAAAAAAACTAATAAAAATGACTAAAATTCAGCCAATCAATCAATCAAATTGCCTCCAAACTGCTTGTTTTTAACAATACTCTATTTTAAAGATAGTCAGGTGATTAAGAGGATTTAAAACTATTAAAAAATAATCCATTTCATATTTAAACCGTAAAAACCCACACGTTTTAGATTCTAAAAACTGATATTAATACAAACTAAGCAATACTTGCACGTTTTTTAAATACAAATGTACAATATCAGCTCATCAAACGCAACTTTTTAACATGCTTTACGCCAATATTCACCTATTAATACAACCAACATGCTATAATGATTGCATTAACCGTAGACTACTTACCTGAAATATGAGCGTGTGTATGTTACACAAAATATATATAGAATAAAATACATAGATTAAGGTATCGTAACACATTTAATAATTAGAATAAACACATAAATACATCACATATAATATACATAGGTACTCTTTACACATACTTGAATGACTCAGAAACATTCATGAGGTGGGCACGCCTTCGTCGCGTCAAATATATACATGCATGCAATGGTACAACCACATCGTTCTATAGATAGAAACTAGGAGGAAACCGGGAAACCCACAAAACATGCACGCGATTTGACACAATACATACAAACATTATACCTTACCCTTATATGGTAACTCGGGATGATTTTAAACCTGAAAAACTCAACCAGGCGGTAAATTCGAACCGCTTCTAAGAAATCTTTTCTAAGATGTATTAAAACGTTTCGGAACGTCAACTCATACCTACGTCAGCTACGCCATATATACATACACTACACAGACATATATACATTTTCAGCACAGTAATCAGAGGTAATATAAGTTACGTAGAACACGAAACTAAATAGATATATGTAGTTATTACACATGGTTTATATTTCCACATTTAAATTATACAATTGACGTTAAGTACGGTGTGGTTATTTCGAAAAATATTATTTTGAAAATTTGAACCGCGCAACAAGAATTATTGTCAGTTTCATAATGAATTTATAGAAACATACATCTAGTAGCTAAAGTCCATGTATGCAAATAATTGATAATAAGTATAAGTTCATATAAAAAACTAAACAGCAGATTTAACCAGCCAATCAGAGAACTTCTAAGGCGTTCGATGGCATTAATTCATTCAGTTTGATTAGCATTGTTGTTGAGACTGTGTATTATAACCATGGATTATAACTCAAACGAAACTAGGCTTTAGGAATCTTGCAGTTTGGCTCTGAAGTATGGATGGAACAGCCTTAGCGAGAAAAAAACATGCACAATTCGGCCCCAAACTACGTCAAGTTCAAGATGTTGAAGGTATTTTTATTTGTGCCGCGATAACAAAAAACTGTCGAATGACTATGGGTTTATACGTTTAGATTAGACTGTTAGACAACGCTCGACAACTGTTCTTTCTTTATTTATAGGGGATTTTGAGAAACTTCAATTTTAATTAGCGCTGTATGAATAATCTAATAAAACACATAGGCCAATCCAGTCAGTGTGATATAACGACGAAAAAACAAATGATACATGACTCAAAAAATGTTTCTTTGTGTAATAAGTTAAATTATTCCTACAAATTCATAAACAAGTACAAATGAAAAACACATTATTATCAATAATATTACTGACAATGATATCTATGATGATTACAATGAAATAATAAAAATACTTGACAACAAAACATTGAATACAAAAGACTGTCCATTATAGCAAGTGATCCTAGCACACAACTTTGGTATGGTATAAACGCGTGTACAGTGTACGCACAGTGTACACATGTTTGTACATACAAGCCCAAAACAAATGATACACAAAGGTACACTAATAAGAGAAAAATGAATTCGAGAATTTTTAAAACTTGTTAAAACAGCATGGCCCCAAAACCAAATGTTTGCTTGATGCTGAACCAGTAGTAATGCTTCCAGCCTTCTACTGTCCTCTCGTAATCTGATCCTGTTTCATTTTTTTGTTATTTCGTTTAATTCGTTTATTTTTTTTCATTTTTTCATTCAGGCTTTCGTTCATTCATTCATTCATTACTTAAAAGGACATCTAAATTCAACCCCACATTACTTTGTAATAAAGTTAGTTACTTCAAATAAATTAACATAACATTACTTGACAAAAACAAAAGAACACTAGACAGACACTAAAAGAAAATAGCAAATTTTACAATTTGTAAATGGAGATAATATAAAAATACAAAGAGAGAAAGAGTGGGAGAGATATATATATATATATAAGGACAGATAAATGGATAGATTGACAAAGAGGGTGTGAGGGAAAGAAAAACTGAGGAAGAACCAACCAGGGATACCAGATTGGTGTAAAGTGACGTAAGTGCAGTCGTCCTTTTGATCAAACTGCAGAACGACAGACGAGTGATGCGGGGAGGGCCATGTTTTCGACCTCCATTTCATTTCTATGCGCTCGTAAGGTAACTAAAATGGAAAATTTCATGTTTTACTACAAAAGCAAAAAAAGGAAAGTTCCCAAAAAATCTTTATTTTTATTCTCAATTTTTTTTAAGTTTATAATTTTTTTTGAACGTTTATTCTCCAAGACAAAAAAATTAGCACACCAACCAGATTTGTAAACTCTCCAGTAATGTTGCCGCCGAACAATGAGAACTTACCTCCAATTCTGGCATCAACCTCAACGGGCCCCCGAGAGAATGCCTCTAATTTCTGAAAACAAAATTGAAAGAATTATAATTAAAAATATTCAGGAAAGGTTTTTGAATGATGAAAATCACCCGAAAGACACACAAAACATATTCATTAATAGCATCATCATCAAAAATTCTCATCAAAAATCGAGAGTACAAAAAATCCACTAATCACTAGTCATTCAATTATTCTCAGACCTGCCTATCAACAAAGACAGTAAATATTTCATCGACTGTGCATTTGAAGTCGACAGTTTCATCGTAAGTTTTGCATCCACCCTGCACTTCTATCCAGTGTTTGTTGCTACTACTGCTGTTTGTACATGTGTCAACTTCTGCCTGATAATTTGTCACCTTCTTAGCTGAAATCTGTTTTTGAAACAATTTTTTGATTGAATAATTTAAAATATTGTTTGAATAATATTTTTTTCAACAGAGACGTACATTTTTAGAGACAAGATCTGGAGCTGATTGATCTTTTGTTGGCAGGATCATTCCTTGGCTGAACTCTGTGATATTTAAAGAAAATTTAGTCCTTAGTGGAATGAGATGCTATAGAAAAAAAATACAAAATACAAAAAGCATATTAAAATAGAGAAGATAACATTTTTATGGTATTATAAAATTTACAATCAATCAAGCAACCAGTCAGCCAGCCAGCCAACCAACCTTCTTTAAGCTCCTTAATATAGTTATGAAGTTGTCGCCTGATGACTTGCAAGCCCTTATTTCTGATAAACTCTTTGATCTTGTAAGCGCCTTCATCATTTTGGTTCTCTTTCAGAGATACATTGATGTCGACACTGTCTGCTGTGTGCTCCTCACTCAAATTAGGAATCTCAATCTCACCTTTGCACATGTCTCCACCTGATTTAAACTTTCCTAAAAAATAATTTTGGGATTTTTTATCATCAATATTTTAAAAAAGGGCTGACAAAACTAAAGATAAAACATGAATAGCAATTAAATTTATATACACTAATGTGAATAAAAAGAATGCATATGATAAAAAGAAATATAAATTTAAAAAGTTTTTGTTACCAGTCCATTCAGCCTTGATTTCCCACTCATAAAAGAAGAACAGTTTAGCCTTTCGGTTGTTGGCTGAGGCTTCCCCTTCAATCTTTGTGATGTCTTTTATTTGACAGTGATCTGGGTTTTATTTTGGTTCATTTTTGGTTAGAATAATAATGTTGATTGAAACATTACTGGCAGTAAATCAAGTTAGTAAATTAACATTTAACAGGCAAACAACCAACCAAACATACACGAAACAAAACAAAACATACATACAAGCGTCATCTTCTATGACAAGACCTTCCAGCAATGATTTCAATTTATCTTTTGACCATGGGGTTGCATTTTTCTCTGTCCTGAACAAAAAAATAAATAAGAGACTAATTCACTGATTAAATTAATTAATCACTTCTTTACAGTTTACACCCCACTACTCTATCATTCAATTAATTTTAATATCATTGAAATTTCTCTATTTAACAATTAAATGTTATTTATCATTCTATGAAAGAAAAGACCAAGGCACTGAACAAAATGAATCAATCAACAACTGACTGATGAAAGTTAAACTTTTTAATAAACCTTATAACAGTTTTAAAACATTATTTTATTTAATTAATTAGCTATAATTAATGACCAATCTTCTTTAATTTAATATAAAATAAAATTTTAATTAGTAATAAATTAATGATAATTAATGACCAATGCCAGTTGTTAACATTAGTAGCATCTGCCCGTTCCTCAACTATCCAACGCGGATCGCCTTCTCCCCACTTTGCCATATTTGCAAATTTGCCTAATTTGAAACAAATTACGATTAGGACGGTGCGGACTGAACCTCAAAAGCACGGACACGCTAGTCTAGCAGAAGAACTTTCCAGATTTTATTTTCATATAAACATTGCCGGCGGAAGTTGAGAAAATTTCTAGAAATTAGTAAGTAAGACGAAATGAAAAAATAACTGCTGCCTGCACCTGCCGCTGAAACAACATACATATACTTAACCATATAGGTACTTAGAGGAAGATGAAGCATTATTATCTGATAGTCATTAATAATACAGATGGTACGATTTAATTTTCAATTAATTATGCGATTTTATATTCTTAGATATATGTTCATTATATAGTAATTTATGTAACTTAATTATTATATTAGATACATTTAACAAATAATGTCCAGTTTAAATTTTGTGTATTTGATACTCTCAGTGGTAAAAATTTGTCTAATTGAAACGTCTTATCTCCCACCACAGCATCTCAATTTTCCATCGTGACATCTACTTTCTAGGTTTTACTTTGTCTTGTTCCTAATGTTCAACTATTCATTGATGTACACTTTCTGTGAAACTTTCATTTCCAAAGTTAAATCAACAAATTTTAATGAAAATTATTAAAACAACAGTCACAAACGCCTGAGGACAAACAAGCATATGCATCCATCGTACATAAACACATACATACACACAAACATGTAAACAGACAAACATACATACATATACACACAAACACACATACACATACATACAGTGACACATGCATGAAATAAAACGCAATTGTCAAAATGTTATTTGTTACACCAATTAATAAAAATCGTGCAATCTTTTTGAAATTCTAATTCTATATTTGTTGAAGGTCTGTTAATTTGCACTGCAGTCCGTATGGGTGTGGGGATTGAGTAAATGTGTGTGTGTGTGTGTGTGTGTGTGTGTGTGTGTGTGTATCTATGTATGTGTGTGTATGTAAGTGTTAGTGACAATTAAACCTAAATGTATGAGCCTAAATATTGAAATAACGAATAAATTAAACGTCAGATTTCGGATTGATATGATGATTTTCAAGGCTCTACTCGTTATATTTCGTCTTCTGATCATCGAGATCTGTCATCTTCTTTTTGGAATTGTTACTTTCAGCTTTCGTTTCCTTCCCATCGCCATCATCAATATTTGTCCTCTTACTATCTCCTAATAACTTCTCGTTCGTTTCGCCACCAGCGAGTTTATTATCGTCGTCATTATTGTCATCATCATCTCTATCGCCATTGTTCTTATTATCATCATTATCACTACTGCCAGTGGCTACTACTCCATCATTCTTCCATTCCTCCTTCCCACCAGCACCACCACCACTTCCTCCGCATTCAAGTTTAACTTCAAAATCGACATCATTCAGGTCGATAATTGGAGTTATAATATTAAGGCCGCCCTCAACTTTACTTTCCGCACTGTCTTCTTCTCTGCTATCGGAATCTATTTGGCGTTGAGCGGTTTTAGTTGAATTCAATTGATTTTTGTCGGTTTTACTCGAATCTACTCGGTAATCGTTACTTGAGTAATTGTTTTCAGTTACCTTTTCAGTGGTGATTTTAAATTGAAAGCTCGGATCATCTTTTAAGAGGATGTCAACAAATAATTCGCCATCCTCACTCAAACTCTGCTCCAACGTGTCTACGTTCACGAAGTCCGGAAGACGAAAGCGTTTTCGAAATTGGCGACGAGTGACCTGGAGGAAAAAAGTAATAATTTTATAACAATTTTTATCTTTAAAACGGCATTACAAGAACGACAAAGAAGACAACAAATCGGTACATATAACAAAAACAAAACAAAAACAACAACTGTATTCCCAACCTGTGCAGCGTACGGCCCGACTTCAGCTTCATAACTGGCATCCACCGTCAGACACTGCGGCCTGTTTCGATCCAACGTCAGCGTGACGTCATCCTCCGTAAAATCCCTCCCCACCGAAAACACCAACCTGATCTTTCTACGTCCCCTCTCGTCACTGAAAACTGGGACCACGGTCGGCCCTATGGGTCGTTTTTGAGGTGGGAGGTGGAAGGGCATCTCGATGGTGAGGATTTTTTGATCGTGGCTGAGAACGCACTGCATCAGTTGGTGGTCCACATAGCTGGGAATCTCCAGTCTCCGGATCATCGTCTTCTTGAAGACTGCAACGTCCCTCTCTTGCAGGGACTGCGCGAAAACCGTTAGGATTCCGTTCTCGACACTCAACTGCACCTGAAAAGATTATATTTTGATTCTCGTTAAACGACACCACGCCAGCATTTCATCATCTTTACCTCATCAGGTTTGAAGTGTTGGACATCAAAGCAGGCTTTCAAGACGGGCATGCCGTCCTTATCATCGAGGTAGGCAGTGTCCACAGGGCTGGCCACCCCCTCCTCTCTCTGCTCCTCCGTCGATTTCAACACTAAAAAATCTGACATCTGGTCGAGTTCCTCCTGTAGTTGGGGCAGTTTGTTGAGGTTGGGTGCGTGTAGTTGGGGCAGTTTGTTGAGGTTAGGTGCGTGTAGTTGTGGAAGTTGATGGTTTTTGCTTGCTATAAAACAACGCTGGCTGTGTCACATCAAGCGTAGCAACAGTAGGAAGCACATTAGCACCAAGAACTTCACGGCAACACCACCAACAACAGAACAACCGCGAAAACTAACTTGCCACTCTTGCTTTCTTGACTCAAACTCTTCATCGACAATGGCACAACAGTTGTCGTTGTTAGCAGCAGCAGCAGCAGTTGCGCCATCTTTACCACTACCGCCACTACTACAAGCACCACTACTGCCACCGTCCACCTTCATGGTGTTGATGTTTGGTGGTTTTATCTTATTCTTCGTTGCGGACAAAAATTTTCGAAAAACAGCCTTGTGGAGAAATTAATTATGTTTCATAATATAATTTTCATATAGGCAACTATGATTCATAATAGAATTTTTATATAAGTAACTATGATTCATAATATAATTTTCATAAAATTATGAAAATAATAATAACAACAACATATATATGTGTACATACATACGTACACACACACACACACGTGCAAACGTACGCACGTACAAAAGTTGGAAATAAATATTAATTACATAAAGTATCAACGGAGCCTGATGCTCAATCTTTTCTTCTTGTCTCTCTCTCTCTATCTCTCTCTCTCTTTCTCTTTCTCTTCCTTTCCCTCTTCTTATTTTTCGCTCTCTCTTTCTCTCTCTCTTCCTTTCTCTCTTTCTCTCTCTTCAAATCTCGATTTAAGCAAAAACTAGCACGATGTTTGTTATGTACCTGCAGTTGTATATACATGTTTGTAAGCTACGAACAGAAGATAATCTTATTGTTGTTATTAATGTTAATGTTGTTTTGATGATGATGATGATGACAATGATGATGATGATGATGATGATGATGATGATGACTACAATGATGACGATGATGATGATAACGATGATGATGATAACGATGATGATGATGATTATTTTCTCACAACCTTTACGAGCAATTTATCAAAGCAATTATTTCTACCGAATGCGTACAAACAAGAAACTGAATTTTAGACATGTACACAAACATTCATACACACACATACATACACACATACATACATACATACACGCCTGTGGTACCAGGCAGGACGACTCTTGTGTTCGTGTCAGTTTGGGACTGAGACTCGGTTTACCCATTTTAACCGAGTATGTTTGTTTATGTGAGTCTTTCGTGTCGATTGGGCCCTGGTAGACAGGCTCGACACTCGGCCATGAACGACTTTTTGGTCAGTTGCTTTCAGAGGGCAAACATACCCACAATTAAAAAACCCACGGATCTTATGGAGGAAGGTAGCCTCAGGCCCGATGGATATACTATTTTGCCATGGGCGCAAGGACGTTCCCTTGCTTGGGATGTTACGTTTCCTCACACCATGGCTGAAAGGTACATTATTCTTACCTCACAGGAGGCGAGTGCCGCTGCCTTAAGAGCCGCAGACTTTAAAAATTCAAAATATGCAGCTCTTGCAGAAAGCAAAATTTTTCAGCCAGTCTGCATTGAGACCTTTGGTCCAACCGATGCTCAGACTCAGAGTTTTCTGAATGAACTCTGTAGCAGGATTTTAGAAGTATCGGGTGACCCATTAGATAAGAGTTATGTAAAGCAATCATTTTCTTTTTTACTTCAAAAATATAATTCTTTCTGTATTTTGGATGGAGCGTTAAAATACCTTTCTGTGCGAAGCGTTTAACATAGATTAAAGCTGAACCCGGATATGATTATTACTTCCCTATAGTTCTAATCAATTATGGGTTCATACATACACACATACATACAAACAAACAAACATACATACAGGAATGCGTGTTTATATTTATGCATCGCTTGATAGTATATTCGTCTGGCATTGGGTATTTGCTCTGTTTTATGTTGATTGATTGGTAGACTCTATAAACATCAATGTTTGTGTACAATTTTCCTGTTCGTATGTGTTTGTGTATATGCATGTGTATGTGTGTGTGTGTGGGAATGTGTGTGTGGATGTATGTGTGTTTGTGTGTGTGTGGATGTGTGTATGTTAGTCTGTATATGGCTGACATTAATTTGGTTTCTTCAATGTTGTTGTTGTTAATGTTATTGTGGTTAATGATGACGTTGATAGTATTGTTAATGTAGTTTGTGGTTTTTTATATAGACAAGCACTGAGCCAGTACTCGTTTTAATTACAATCTGTTTCTGTTGAATAACAATGTTTGCTTGTTCATTTTATTGATGTTGTTGTTGATGTTGTTAATGTCGTTTATGTTGTTGTTGTTGATGATGTTGTTTTTGTTGTTGATGTTTTGTTGTTGTTGTTGTAGTTGCAGTTTCTGCTAACGATCAGAGATATATTTTTCAATATTCAACTTTTCCACTAGACCATCTCAAATAAACACACACGTATATACATATACACATACAGCTTGCATAAACAAACACACACTTACAATTGATGCAAACATACAAACACGTATACGAACATACAAACACACATACGAACATGCAAACACACATACAAACATACATACAAACAAACAACTGAAACATTCTAATTAAAGCACATGTTCATAGGAATTTGTAGTACTGAGTTATGTTGTATTTTTTTTACGTATATAACATTATTACGTCACAATATTATTATTATTGTTATTTTTTATTATTATTATTATTTTTCATGTGTATGTACGCATATATTGTTGACGCATAAATACGTTTTAATATATTTCAATGTACCTTAATGCACATTATAAGGCTTAATTTAAATTTTTTATTTAAAAATAATAATAATAATAATGATAAATAATAATAAGAAAAAGAAAACTTGTATTAATGTTGATTTTTTGCTTATCCAAATTATCCATACATGAAAAACTATTATTATGACGTCCTAATATTAACAACGTAATGAAATATATAATAATGATAATTAATATTATTAGATAATTATATTGATGAAGTTATTATAACGATTTAACTTTTGTTTACCATTTAATTTTATTCCTTCTGGGATTCAAGTGCCGTTGTTACTTATAATTAATATATTAATAATTATAATTATTATTATTATTATTATCTACCTACCAGCAACAACAACAAATAAACCGGTATCATTATTGTTAATTGATTGATTAATTAATTAATTAACCCAACAGTATATTTCTCTATATAATATTTACGACCAGGAGGATGATGATGAAGATTACGAAAAGATTCTGGATAAATGTAAACAAAAAACATCAGGGAAAACTTCGCCTATGCTATATATAAATAATTATCGATACATACATACATACATACATACATACATACATACATACATACATACATACATACATACATACATACATACATACATACATACATACATACATACATACATACATACATACATACATACATACATACATACATACATACATACATACATACATACATACATACATACATACATACATACATACGAAACGAAACGAAACGAAACGATCTTTTATTTGCTTCCCAAAAATAATAATTAAGAAGGCAGGATGATTGTGATCGAGCTCATGATGAGCTCATCTTGCACAGCCACCTTATCACAAATAAAACAGATGTAAGAAAATTAGAAAAAATGTTTTCAGTTAGCTTAATTAAAGTCATATTCTGTAAATATATATACACGTACATACATATATACATATATATACATACACATATATATACGCATACACATACTCATATATAAATCATCGAGATCAACAGAACAGTGTTACATTAAATAATCATTTAATGTTAGTTTGAATTTATAAGTTTACAATTCAATTTGGTTACAAAATTTAATGTCAATTGAGTTTACAATACATATATATACATACATATATACATACCCATATATACATACATAAACAAATATATATTA